TGCCGGGAATTGGAGTTCTCACCCCAAAACCGGGGTGTGGCACCCGGGGGATGCCGGGAATTGGAGTTCTCACCCCAAAACCGGGGTGTGGCACCCGGGGGATGCCGGGAATTGGAGTTCTCACCCCAAAACCGGGGTGTGGCACCCCCAGGTGACCTCAGCAGGAGCAGCATCACATTTCTGGGAGGTTTGATTTATTCAGACCAAGAATCATGAACTCATCAGCAAAGCTGAAGCAATTCCTTCCTCTCACCCCCAGGTGCTGCTCCAAACACCCCGAACCGGAGGAAGCTGAAAATATCAGGGAATAAAGGAAGATTCACCCCTAAAAACACCCCATTTTCTCGGGATTTGGGGTAAAACTCAGGAATCCAGAGGAGGCTCCCACGGGGTGGGACGGGACGGATCCAAAACCCCGGGATCTGCCCCCAGAGCTCCAAACCCTCATCTCAGGGATTTCAGCCTTCAGACCCCTCCAGCATTCCCTGTTCCCAGACAATCCCAGGATTCCCAGCCCTGAGAGAGGTTTGGGCTGGTAAAACATTCCACGAAGGGAGTTAAGAAACGGTTAATTAATAAACCATTAATTAAGAAATGATTAATAAAGGACGGAGCCCGAGCTGTTCTTTAGAGCCTTTATTGCAAGTAACGCCCTGCTGGAGCTGCCCGGCTGTGAGGTCACTGGGGTCACTCCGGGGTCACTGGGGTCACTCTGGGGTCACTGGGGTCACTCCAGGGTTACTCCGAGGTTACTCCAGGGTCACGCAGCCGCTGCCTTCTGCTTGTAGGTCGCCATCATCTTCTTGATCTCAGCGATGGCTTTGCCGGGGTTCAGCCCCTGCGGGAGGGGACGGTCAGCGTCCCGGGGGGACCCAGCCCCAAAACTGCTGGCACTGACCCCCAGAACTGCTGGCACTGACCCCCAAAAATGCTGGCAGTGCCCCTCATTCGCACCCCAGAGCTCCCCTGGGGGCACTGACCCCCAGAAGTGCCGGCATTGCCCCTCAGTCCCACCCCAAAGCTCCCCCAAATCCCTCCCTGTGAGCGTGGGGAGAACCTGGAACGGGATTCCCAGAGAACCTGGCTGCAGCAACCTGGGCCTGTCACCTCCCGGTGTCCCAGCACTGCCATCGTCACCTGTCCCCTCCCTGCGTCTCCCCCCGGTGTCCCTCCTGGTGTCCCCAGTGTCCCCTCCCTGTCCCAGCCGTACCTTGGGGCAGGTGCGGGTGCAGTTCATGATGGTGTGGCAGCGGTAGAGCGAGAACGGATCCTGCAGCTGCGCCAGCCGCTCCTCCGTGAAGTCATCGCGGGAGTCGATCATCCAGCGGTACGCCTGGGGACAGTGACACCGCTGGTACCGCTGGTACCGCTGGTACCGCCCAGTACAGCCTGGTACCGCCTGGTACAGCCAGCACTGACACCGCTGGTACCGCTGGTACTGCCCGGTACAGCCAGCACTGACACCGCTGGTACCGCTGGTACTGTCCGGTACAGCCAGCACTGACACCGCTGGTACCGCCCGGTACAGCCAGCACTGACACCGCTGGTACCGCCCGGTACAGCCAGCACTGACACCGCTGGTACCGCCCGGTACACCTGGTACTGCCCGGTACAGCCAGCACTGACACCACTGGTACCACCTGGTACTGCCCGGTACAGCCAGCACCAACACCACTGGTACCGCCGGTACTGCCCGGTACAGCCAGCACTGACACCGCTGGTACCGCTGGTACCACCTGGTACTGTCCGGTACAGCCAGCACTGACACCACTGATACCGCTGGTACTGCCCGGTACAGCCAGCACTGACACCACTGGTACCGCTGGTACCACCCAGTACAGCCAGCACCAGCACTGCTGGCACTATAAATACCGGATTAAATACTAAAATAAAAATACTATAAATACCAGATTAAACACTAAAATAAAAATAGTAAAATGTAAATATTAAAATAAAAATACTAAGATAAAAATAAAATTCTAAAATAAAAATACCATAAATACCAAATAAAAATAGTAAAATAAAAATAGTAAAATATAAATAGTAAATAAAAATAGTAAAATATAAATTAAATACTAAAATAAAAATAAATACCAAAATACTAAAACAAAAATACTATATAAAATAAGAATACTAAAATAAAAAGAAATACTTAAATACTAAAATAAAAATACCATAAATACAAAATAAAATACTAAAATAAAAATACTAAAATACTAAAATGAAAACACTAACATACTAAAATAAAAATACTAAAATAAAAATTAAACACCAAAATAAAAATAAATCCTAAAATACTAAAATAAAATAAAAATACCAAAATAAAAATACCAAAATAAAAATACTAAAATACTAAAATAAAAACACTAACATACTAAAATAAAAATAAAACACTAAAATAAAAAGAAATCCTAAAATCCTAAAAGAAAATAAAAACACTAAAACAAAAGAAACAATAAATACTAAAATAAACGCAGATATTCTGTTGAGCTCACCCCACCTCTGTGCCAGGCCGGGTGCCAGGGGCTGTGTCCTCACCTGCATGAGCACGGCGGGGCCCAGGTACTTGTCACCGTTCCACCAGTAGCTGGGACAGCTGGTGCTGCAGCAGGCGCACAGGATGCACTCGTAGAGCCCGTCCTGCCACCACAGGGGACACGGTGACATGGTGACACGGTGACACGGGACCCACCCCTGGCACCCGCGGGACAACCCTCCCAAACCGGGAGCTGGGACAGCAGGGAAAGGCATGGCCTGGAGAGGAAGGGGAAACTCCCGGGATCTCCTGAATCCCTGCCTTGGGATCTCCTGAATCCCTGCTCTGGGATCTCCTGAATCCCTGCCCTGGGATCTCCTGAATCCCTGCCTTGGGATCTCCTGAATCCCTGCCTTGCTCCCAGCCCATCCCTGCCAGGACAGCACTCTGGGATCCTGTCCCACACTCTGGGATCAGGTCTGGGAATGGGAATGGGAGTGGGAAGGTGATCCTGTCCCACACTCCGGGATCAGGTCTGGGAATGGGAATGGGAATGGGAAGGTGATCCTGTCCCACACTCTGGGATCAGGTCTGGGAATGGGAATGGGAAGGTTCTGCGGGCTCAGGGCTGCGTGGGGAGGGTTTCACCCAGGAACTGACCAGTTTCTGTCGGTCCTCGATGGACTGCAGGTACTGCTCCTTGCCCTCCTTGGACTCGTCCTTCTTCTTCAGGTAGGGCTCGATGGATTTGTACTGGGCGTAGAAGTTACTCAGGTCCTGGGGCAGGAAAACAGGGATCTGAGGAGAACCCAAAACACCCCAAACCCCTCCTTCCAGCCCCACCCCTCTGCCCAACATCCCACCTAAACCACCCCAAATTTACACCCGGCCGGGAGGTGACGTTCCCTGCCCGGACCTGCCGCATTCCGGGCCACCTTTAGTCACGGGGACCCACCCAAGGGACACCCTTGTTTGTTAGGGACTTTTGGATTTGGGTTCTTTTCCCCTTTGAGCTGAGGATTGACCAGAGGGAGGCAGTTTTCTCTTGTTGGGTCTCAGTTGTTTATTCTTTCCTTATCAGCATTACAAGGTACAAGGAGCTGTGATAGAAAAGGGTAAAATGGCCAACAAAGATCCTCTTCAAGGTCTTTTCTATGTCCATTTACCCAATTAACAGATTCCAGCTAAATTATTTTTATTATTTATTTTAAATTTAATATATTTATATTAATATAATATTAATATATAATATAATATTTGATATATTCTAATATATTATATATTATAATTATTTTATAATTATACATTAATTTTATTATTTGTTTTAAATTTAATATATTTATATTAATATAATATTAATATATAACATAATATATAATATAATATATAATATATTATATATTATTATATATTATGATTATTTTATAATTATAAATTAATTTTATTATTTATTTTAAATTTAATATATTTATATTAATATAATATTTATATATATAACATAATATATTATATATTATAATATATTGTAATATATATTAATATAATAAATATATTTATTGTATTTATTTGACCCAATGCCCCAACACCTGTGTGCTGCACTGTGACATTTTCTACCCAATCACTCACAACCACCCAAAAACCTCCAGGAGAAGAATATGAGGAAGAAAGAAGAAGGACAAGAGACAACACCCTAAATCCTCCACCTTGTCTCCTGCTCTCTAAACTGCTTTTTCACCCAGTGATTTAAGAAACTTTTTAATTTACACACTCACACTTTTCCTATCTAACTTTAACATTTGTTCTCATGCATCACCATGAAAACATGCTCATGAATTTTATATTATACGAAATTCAGTGTTTTTCTGGATCCTAGAACTAAGCATTAAAAACAAGGGCACACGCTGTGGATCTCAGCCTCCAACAGCCCCTGTCCCTGCTGGCAGCTGCCAGGCCCTGCCAGGGGGCTGCACTCACCGGCACCAGGTCCTTCACCACGTACATGTGGGGCAGGGGGTAGATTTTGGTGACTTTGTTGAGGTCGCTGTCGATTTTCTTGATGCAGGCCAGGGTGTTGCCCCCGGCGATGTTCATGGCGCAGGAGCCGCAGATCCCTGAGGAGGGGGGGAAAGCAGAGCAGGGGGTGGGATTCTCCATCCTGGCCCCCTCCCCAAAAAAACACAACAGCACTGGGGAAACACCACTCGGTTCTTCCAGCATCCCCCAAAAAAAATCCCATTTCCAATCCCAGGGTGGCATGGGTGGGATCCTCACCGCCCAAAGGGGAGAGGAGAGCAGGGACACAAAGGCAGGGGCACAGAGGGAGGGAGTGACACCTCTGGAGGTGCCCCAGCCCCTCAGAAAGGGGTTTTCCAGGTGTTTCCTCCCAGGTGTTTTCCAGGCAGCTGGGAACGGCTGCAGAGTCGGGACCACGCGCCTGCGGCAGGAGGAAAGGGCAGGAGGGAACCAGCCCGGCCTGAAAATCTCTCCTGTCCTGGGAAAATATTCAGGGCAGTGAATTCCAGTGGATTGGGAAGAGTTTTGGCTGCCTGGGAGCCCCAGCCCGTGTGGAATTCCTGCCCTGCTGTGCAGATTCCAGAGGAAACGCTGCCTCTCCGTTCCCATGCCAGACAGAACAGCTGCCCTGAGACTGCCCCTGCCTGCAGCCACACCTCCTTATTCCAGAGCCATTCCAGCCAGGAATGCTCCCACAGCCCCAATCCAGAGCCATTCCAGCCAGGAATGCTCCCACAGCCCCAGTCCGGAGCCATTCCAGCCAGGAATGCTCCCACAGCCCCAGTCCAGAGCCATTCCAGCCAGGAATGCGCTCTGCCAGCTCAGCAGCCCGGTGTGACCCGTGAATCAGGAGGTTTTCCCAGGAAAAGCCTGGGAGCAGCCACAACCCCAAACCGTGGGTGCCCTTTCCCTCGATCCACCCCTGCCCTCAGCCCCAAGGGCCAAGGAGGAGATTCCTGGAGCTGTTCCTGGAAATCCAGAGCGCTCTCCCAGTTCCAGCCAGTCTGATTTCCACAGCACCCATTCCAGCTCCCATTCCAGCCCTGCCCTCTCTCAGCCTGGAATCTCCCCCTGGATCTCCCCACGCACTGGGAGGCGGCAGATGAGCTGGGAAGGGAACTGGGACAACTGGGAGCTGTGGGAGGAATTCCTGGAGCTCAGAGCTGTGCTCCAGCCTCGCTCCTGGCTGCAGTGGGGCTGGGAGGGGAGGGGGCTCTGAGCTCCCTGGGGGATTCCAGGCGGGAATTCCCTGTCCTTACCCTCCCTGCAGGACCTGCGGAAGGTCAGCGTGGAGTCCACCTCGTTCTTGATCTTGATCAGGGCATCGAGCACCATGGGCCCACACCTGCAGCACAAACCCCGGTCACCGGCAGGGATCCCCTCTGGGGCCAGCCCTGCGTGTCCCCGTGAGTCACAGGGACACACTCGGGGACAACTCCTGTCCTTTGACACCCAGGGCACCACCCAGGGATTGTTCACTGGGACAAAGCCACCCCGAAACCGGAGCTGCTGCTCCGGCGGGGTTTGGGCAGGGTGGATCCTTCTGGAAGGGTTTGGGGTGGATCCCTCTGGAGGAGCTCCTGGGGATGGTTTGGGATGGATCCCTCCGGAGGAGCTCCTGGAAAAGAAGGGTTTGGGATGGATCCCTCTGGAGAAGCTCCTGGGAAAAATTTGGGATGGATCTCTCTGGAGGAGCTCCTGGGAAAGGTTTGGGATGGATCTCTCTGGAGGAGCTCCTGGGAAAAGTTTGGGATGGATCCCTCTGGAGGAGCTCCTGGGAAAAGTTTGGGATGGATCTCTCTGGAGGAGCTCCTGGGAATGGTTTGGGATGGATCCCTCTGGAGAAGCTCCTGGGAGAGGTTTGGGGTGGATTGGTGTCCTGCTTTTTTCTGCTTTTTCCTGGGATAACAGCCACGGTGGCTGCTCAGTGCCAGAGGGGAGCAGCCCCTTCCCGGCCATTCCCTGGAGCTGGGATTGCTCCCGGGCCCCATTCCTGAGGGACACCCACTTGTTCAGGTCCACCTCGTAGGTCTGCATTCGGGGTTTGTCCCCAGGCTTGTCGGGGTCCCATCTGTAGATGGCGAATTTCTTCAGCCGCGGCGCCGCCGCCGCCGTCTGCGCCTCACGGAGCACCTGGATCCAGGGAAAAACAGCCTCAGATCTCCCCAAATTCAGGGAAAAAACCGCCTCAGATCCCACCTGGATCCAGGGAAAAACAGCCTCAGATCCCACCTGGATCCAGGGAAAAAACAGCCTCAGATCTCCCCAAATTCAGGGAAAAAAACAGCCTCAGATCCCATCCTGGATCCAGGGAAAAGCAGCCTCAGATCTCCCCGAATTCAAGGAAAAACAGCCATCCATCCCAAATTCCCACACATCTCCCTCCACATCCCACAGCTCCCCTTTCCCTCCATCCATCCCAAATTCCCACACATCTCCCTCCACATCCCACAGCTCCCCTTTCCCTCCATCCATCCCAAATTCCCACAGCCCCTTCCAGATCCCACATCCCCTCTCCACAGCTCCTTCCCTCATCTTCTCCCACCTTTCTCCCCAGCTTTTACCTCATCTCCTCCTGCCTCCAGCCCCTCCCGTCCATCCCCGATTCCCTCACATCTCCTTCCACATCCCACAGCCCCCATTTCCCCACATCCATCCCCGATTCCCTCACAGCCCCTTCCACATCCCGCGCTCCGATTCCCCCCGCTCCCCCCTCACACTCCCCTTTCTC